CTTCGCCCCTGCACACCCCTGCTCTGTCTGGCTGGCATGTTTATCTGAACGTGCCCTGTGCTCCTAACCTAGAAGCTAGCCTTATGTGGAGCAACTTTTTGGTCACATCTGCCCTTATGTTTTTGTAGATGGTTTTCTTGGTGTTCATAAATCATTATGATTAAAACCAGGTGTAACATCTACTGAGAATATTGCCTGATCGAAGATGGCAGCATAGGTAGGCTTGCACTTGGACGTGTGATGTTACAGTGCAGCTATGTACTGATGCAGTTATTGTATAACATGGAGCGCAGGACAAATACTGAAAGAATGTAATAAACACTCTTTGGACATACTTTTTAGCAGGCAAACACAAGGTAAAAGAGTACCTGTCAGTTGTAGCCTACACCCTGATCAACATCTATATTTGTTTTTTTTTGTGAAGTTCTGACTCCAGCTACAGTCCAAAACTCATAAATCCAACTCAAACTGTTGAATAGACTTAAATTTTGTCAAGACTCCATTTACCTTTGAACACTACCTAAGACACATTTTCCTTTCTCTCAACTTTCCATTAATATACATTAAGATGCAACTTCTACAGAAGTGACCTTTGGTGAATTACTTTCTACAAGTAATGTTTAAAGGTCAACTGGAGCACTGTGAAGCTAGCAGTCTCCTATTTGTTTGTAGAAGCCACTTTAAATATGCTTGGACTATAACTCCTTTAGCTAAACTGTCTAATCCAACGGTATCATCTATTATTATCAAAATAATGAGAATTAACAAAATCCATAAATAACACTGATTTCTAAATAATTTGGTCTATTTTCCTGTTTAGTTATGCTGTAGATATAAAAGATAAGTAAAAATATACAAAATGGGACAGATGAACCCTAGTTGTTCTCTTTAGCAGAGCTGTGATGTTTCTGCTAAAATCCTCTGAAAATCAGAGCATAGCCGTGGGGCAACTGTACACCTGTGGGATTTAACCCCCCAGGAAGCTGTTGAGACCTAAATGCTTTCGGAGGATCAGCAGCTGCATGAAAGTGGTCAGATGCGTCCATGCTGAATTTAAGGTTTCAGAGGCCTCTGAAAAAAGCGAAACCACAGCAAAGTGGACTAAGATTTTCTTTGTGGATCTACGTATATCAGGCTTTCAGAAAACAGTTTTATGACATTCAAATTTAAAGCTCAAAGGGATGCACATTTCAGAAGCGGGTAGCCTTGCAGCCCTGTAGCCTTGCAGCCTTTTATGAAGGTTCTGGGTTCGATTACCCGCCCGGGGTCTTTCTGCATGGAGTTTGCATGTTCTCCCTGTGCATGCGTGGGTTCTCTCCGGGTACCCTGGCTTCCTCCCACAGTCCAAAAACATGACTGTTAGGTTAATTGGCTTCTCTAAATTCTCCTTAGTTGTGAGTGTGTGTGTGTGTGTGTGAATGGTTGTTTGTCCTGTTTGTCTCTGTGTTGCCCTTTGATAGTCTGACGACCTGTCCAGGGTGTAGTACCCTGCCTTTCGCCCATTGACAGCTGGAGATAACCACCAGCACCCCTCGTGACACCAGTAGGGATACGTGTGACAGAAAATGGGTGGATGGATGGATGGAAGTTTAAAACTTGTTTCATAAACAGTAAAATACAAACTATTCTGCATTCATACATATCTCATTTTATGAAAATGGGACAGAGCCAACATAAGCTTTTACCAAGATATTTTCAACTGAAATAATATTCTAGCATTTTTTATTATCCACATTAGTAATGTAAGTCCATGTCAAAGATGCCATAAAGCTTTTGGAAAGGCATTGGCAGCGCTTACAGACCTTCAAATTAAAACATTTGCAGTTTTGCCCCTGGNCAGCTCCGCTTTTGTTTTGTTTTTATTTTAATAAACCTTTTGAACTTTCCTACTGACTGTCTCTCCTGAATACTGGGTCCCTCTGTCCTTGGTTCCTAACACTTAGTACTGCTAGAAAGAACTATGGGAAAATAGAAAATACAGAGGGACAATTGCCAAACCTAGCCCTCCAATGAAACTGTGATATGTAGAAGCAGAAGGCATGCAGCTGTTATGTCTTTCACACACATTGAAGCTGACAGATTTTCAGTCTATTTTCTACATTTAAGTCATGAAAATGGCTTGATAATATAATGGCACCTCCACATTGCCGAAAGAGTAAGTAAATATTTAACTGTGTTTTATTGTTAGACTTAAAAAACAAAATTTGGAAACATATTTTATGTTGTGTTTTTTTCTGATTCAAAAACCCTTACGCTCTTGTGCATACTGGAATATTGGTGGATTGTCAGTTTACATTTATCTTCTTATTAGCAAATTTCCCATTCTGAACCTCCTTTCCTTTAAAAAGAAATAAATACAAGAACTATAAAATAGATCTAAAGAAAAAAAAGAATCTTACCTGATATCTAACAGTTAAAGAGATAGTGTACAGGCATACTCTCTTTTGCAGAGCTACAAAAGATGAGATCAACATATTGTCTAAGCATCATGAATGGTGAGAGCAAGAGAAGAAAAAGGCAAAACACACACAAAAAATTTGTGCTTCCCCTAAAGGTAGGTATTGCTCGAAGAAAACTTCATGACACAAATACCTAAGTTGCCACTCACTGGCTAGGCATCTCTATTTTCAGTCTCTGTCTAAACAGGAGAAATTTATTTCCAGCTGTCGTGATCAACATTAAGTGAATGCTTTGTTAACAATTTATGCATTCACCTCTGTTAAAAAAAGAGTGGTTAAAAAAGTCCTGTTGGTGGTGGTATAGGCAAACTTTTGCCAATATATGATATACTGACAATAGTTTTATATAAATTAATGCTATTAAGAAGTTTTTGACTCTTTAAGGAAGTAAATGTCACTATCTGTTGGTAATTTCATTCACAACTGTCATCCTTTGAGACTACAGAGAAACCCTGATTGAAGTGTATGCAACTGATGCCTTTGTTGACAGAGGAAACTAAACTTCAATAAAAATTTTGGTAGCAGTCCATTAGATTCTAAATTCTGTTTTCTTTCAAATAATAATAATAATAATACTAATAATAATGCTTTTCCAGCTTAAATTTTATTTTATTTTTTTAGCTTTTCTATTGTCATTACACAGAGCAACGAAATTAACTCTTTGCATTTAACCCATCCCCTTGGGGAGCAGTGGGCTGCCATTCTGCTGTGCCCGGGAAGCAGTGTGGGCTTAAGGCCCCGTCCACACGAAGTCAAA